GGGTAGGTCTTATATTTTAGCAATTCCCAAAAATAGTACTTGGTCTTATTTTTGGGGTAGGTCGTACTTTAGGGGAAACAGGGTAATAGCGGGAGAGTCCCGGAGCGCCTGGCTATCTGGAGATCGGTGTCCCTGGTTACGGCTATCTGGAGATCGGTGTCCCTGGTTACCTGGTAACCAGGGACGCTGATCTGTCTGTGCGAGTGGCCGGAGCCAGCCGTGAGATGATGGTTGGCTCCGCCCAGCAGTCAGCAGCAGGCTGTCGTTCGGCCAGCTTCGGCTTTCAGCGCGGCTCAGTCAAGCCGAGGCATATGCCTTCGGCTCGGCCGAGCCGCTCGGCCGACTTCAGGAGCTGTACGGGTTATAGTGAATAGCCCGTGCAGCAGCCCTTCGGTTCTACTGAACCGAAGGGGTCCTGGGGCCGAAGCTAGCCGAAGGATCGACCGAAGCTACGGCTAGATCCTTCATAGTTACATAGTATTTGGGGTTGAATAAAGACATACGTCCATCAAGTCCAACCCGTATAGGTCCACGCATCATCTCCTTCGGCAGCTTAGTGAATAGACCCCTGAGATCGTTTTGGCTTTAGATGTGGTTTATTGTAGAACGGTCGGGGGGGGCAGTGTCCTCTACATATCGTAGAATGTATAACCATTGCGGCTCTTGATGAATACATTCAAATAAAGAAAAAAAAGTTCACTCTGATTTCAGCTTTAAGAGGCCATGCTGGGGCTTGTAGTTCATGAAGGGCTCCTGAGCGGCAGGTCCTCGCTGCAGACTTTTGGCTGCGCGAGGAGACAGAGCGCCATGAGTCAGAGTCTTGTCATCACAATCGCTGTATGGGAATATTCCCAGGATGGTCATTCACCCCGTGACTCCTGGAAGGATATTGTGTCTGTTTAATGGACGGGGACGTCCCAGAGCAGAAAGCAGGAAAATATTTTCCTCATATGAGCTGGAGACGAGCCAAAGGTACGACTCCGCCGGCACTCTCCTCCGCAGCCGGGTTGGAGATCAGCGGAACACGTTCTACTGTACATACATGAGGAGCTGTGTTCTCATAACGTCCTATGTCATGGCCTAAATCTATACCTGTGACATCACCACTGTATAATACAACTTATATCTGGAGAGCGGTGATGTCAGCAAGGCACAACAAGGCACGGCTGGAGAACTAGGACTGTCTCCATGTACCCCATGAAACTATTTCTTTCCAGTCTGGTAAATATGAAAAACTGCGTACTGATATGATGCATTCTTGTTTCTGGCCAGCGGTGGAGCTTTATGGTCATTTTCACGATTTCCAGCTGCCAATCATCCCTTTTGTTCACAGAGCTCAGTAACTCAGGCTGAAATGTACACATAGAAGTAAATAAGCTACAGTATTGGCTCCTCCCCCTCCATCCTCTTTCACCTGTGCAGCTCCATCCGAGGTTTCAGTCAGAGACAGTGTGTCTTAAAGCAGATAACGACTGGTTAGGGTTGCCACCTTTTCTTCCAGTGAAATGCGAACACTCTAGCGACGCACGGCAATTTTAAATAGCGACTCTAGCGAGTCACAGCTTATTCTAATGTAAATAGCGCCACCCACTAATATGTAAATATCACAATAGAGACTATTTTCAGTGGGGGGGGGGGGCCAGTAGACCCTATGTTAATTTTGGTTGCCCCTGTCTGCCTGACATCTTGTGTCCGGGTTTCAGCTGCCATGAAACCCGGACACAGCATTCAAAACACGGACTGTACGGGTGAATCCCGGAAAGGTGGCAACCCTACTGATGTATTCAGGGCCGGATTTCCCATAAGGCCAACTAAGGCCCTGCCTTGGGGCAGCAGGCAGTAGAGGGGCAGCAGGCAGTAGAGGGGCAGCAGGGGTGTGGAATTCCTATCTCCTGATGCCCTGGACATGCAGCTCCGGGCACGTATTTGTTTTCTACAGTCAGCCCTGCTTTGGGCAAAATGCCGCAGAGATCACTTGTATGCAGCCTGCAGGTTTGCCAAGAGCGCCCACCGTAAAAATAAAAACATCCTATCCTGAAGCGGTTATACCAGGAACATGGCTGTATCATTTTAAACAGCCGGCAATTGCTGTTTAGATACGAGCAATCCGACGGCTGTAGAGGGTCTCTTGTACAGTGGGGTGCTGTGTGCCCCCCTCCGCTGCCGCCGGCGGCTTCCCCAGTCTCCGCTGTCCCCTGTGCTGGCCAGGACCAGCATAGCGTAGCGGGTCTCCCCGCAACGATCGGAGACAGATCAGCATTCTTCCAGCCACTGATCTCGCCTTCTTTGGGGTCCCTAGGTGACATTAAGGGGTCTGAATGCATCCATAAAGAGGACCTGTCACATTATATTTGCTATTACATAGGAGGCTTCTTATCCCACTATGTGATAGCAATAAAGTTGAATGTAAAAGGAAAAAAAAATGTAATAGAAAATGAAAAAAAAAAATATTTTTAAAGGTCCCCCACCCCCCACGTGCACGCAAACACGCATTGGCTGCGCCTACGTGCAAAAACTGAAATTGCGCTACACATGTTACATACTGTATGTGTGTGTGTGTGTATATGTATATATATATATATATATACATACAAAAATAGATGCACATAAAAAATAATAATAAGTTAAAAAAATAATATATATATATATACACACACATGTAAACTAAAATAAATATGGAAATAAAATGTACATGTTGAAATACAAAAATGAAAAATAATGTATAAATTTCAAAAATAAATAAAATTGAAAAGAAAATGGCCCCCCTAAGCAGTAATAATTTGTGTAAGGTGTGGCTAGGGGCGGAGCTCTTGCACAGTAGCTGAGACCGCATTGTAGTCGGAAGCTGTATAGGAAGACGTTGTTGAGTATGTAGACCTGGGTGTTCTCTCTCCCGATCTCCTATGCACATCCGAATTCTGGAGCCTGCGGTGGGCAGGGCGCGAGAGATCACACCACACCTCTGGAGCTTTGATGCTGTGGTCACTCTCCCCCCGACCCCACTTGTGGTCAGGGAGTCAGTCTCTGGCGGTTAGGCGGGTCATATGTGAAAACCACCATCCAGCCGTTCTCCGGCCTCTTGTGCAATCTCTGAATCACCCGGAGCTTTTATTACACTTTAGATTGAACCAGGGAATTAAAAGGAGTGCTGTGACTTTTGTAGCTGAGCGGGGAAGCAGGAATGTGCGGTCGGTGGACGCAGGGAAGACATCCAGAGGGGGAGAAGGTCACTTTGTATGTCTAATTATATCGCCCTCATTCAGGAATATTCTCAGTGACTGCAGAGCTACTAACTGTCCCCGATTTCCAGGAAAAGCAGCGCCGTCCACGAGATTTGTCCCTGAATGTTCAATAGGAGAGGCCCATAAGATTGGGATATTGGAGGGTGTTGCAGCTCTAGGTACCTGTTATGTTATACCCACACCTTTTTTTTTTATGATAGGGTCTCTTGAAAATGAAACGCATAGTATCCTTGAGCACAAACTCTCTTCCACATGAGCTTTGTACACCTAGAATCTATCAGCCCACCATTATGGAGATTCAAACCTTTTTGCGTACAAAAGAAATTGATGGTCAAAGCGCTGTGAAAATTGTTGGCGCTATATAAATCCTGTATAATAATAATAATAATAATAATAATGGTTGCCTTACTGTGCCCATTTTTACAATGCCTGCAGAACCAGAGTCTCTGCATTCACTATAACCACCTAAGCAATCCCAGTGTTGTAATAGGCAATGCATGATGGGTTATGTAGAGTTCAGAAATGGAGATTGCACCAAATAGACTCAAAGCACACTGGGAATCCAGGAAGTTGGTGGAAGTTTTGGCAGATGGAAGGCTTTGATTGCATTATCCAGGGCCGTCTTAAATATTAATTGAGTCCCAGGCAAGATTTTGCTAAAGGGCCCCCACAACCCCCTCACCACCATCACCTGCCCCTCCCCACTTCCCGACCCAGGCCACCATATCTACCTACATCACTACTACCCCCAAAAGAGACTAGAAAATAATATATATACAGTATATAAAAATAAAAGGTTCAATGTAATAATGCAATGGACTCGGGACTCTGCAACGCAATGGACTCGGGACTCTGCAACGCAATGGACTCGGGACTCTGTAATCTATTAAACAGGACTCTGCAAAACAATACACTCAACAGGACAACCAGCATCCCCCGCCCCCCAAGCCGGGCTCCCCTTTGCATTCCCAGCAACATCCTCCTCCTCTGCCGGCCAGACGCTCCGCTCTCTGGAGCTGCAGACAACAGGCAGAGAAGAGCACAGCTCTGGCCACTCCCAGCACTTACCAGCAACTTAATTGTCCGCTGTTCCGCCCGCTCGGCTGCTCTTCTCTATCACCTGCCAATTACCGCCCCCCTCAGGCTAGGTTAGCACCGGTCCTGGCTTTGAACATGCCGGCAGTCCCTCAGCCCAGTCTGCCCCTACGACCAGCGGTGTCGCTGCTCCTGCCTGCCGCTCCAGACGAAAGGGACAGCTGCTCTGGGCCCCTGTAACCTTTGGGGCCCAGGGCAGCTGCCCCTTTTGCCCTGCGGTAAAGACGGCCCTGGCATTATCGAAAAACAATGCTGATGTTATTACAGGAGAGGATATGCTGGGACATTGGAACTGAAGTGCATGTTGTGAATGGGTAGAAGCAGCTTCATCCTGGAAGAGTCTTGGAGCATTTGAGCAAAAACAAATCTTCGTGATTCGCTATGGTGCTCGCAGCTTTCACTCGGTTGTACTCGCACGAGAAATTTCTGAGAACAAATCTTTGGTTGCATTGGATAATCTGACTTCATATAGACAGGAAATGCGATTTATAGGGTACTCTGTATGCTAATGGTGTTCAGAATGGCCCCTTGTCTGCCATTTTGCAAGGACGTGAAGATTTAGAGTGCATCCTTAAATTCTATTTCATGACAGAACGGCTTTTATGTTACGCCAATATTTTAAGAATAGCGTTCTCCTTTAAGAATGTGTGGTTTTTTTTACAGGGTGAATGAGGGCACCCCCGAGGTCTGTGTGCAGGATCCGGCCCTTCCCAACATGTGCTCCGTCAGACACTCCAGGCTGTGGACCTCCTACCGGATGAACATCACGGAGATCAATCCGCTGGGCTTCAATTTCCGTATTCTGGAGTTCAACGTCCAGTCCATTGGTGAGCACCAATAATCGTCTAGTATACACCATGCATTCAGGGTACGGTGGATTGCTTCTTGAAACAGCTTTTAAAACATGAAGACACAAAGAGAAAATTATATATATCAAGCTGAACTAAAGATAAAAAGGTGCTGGAGAAAAGTCACAAACTTGTGTCAACACAAGCCAAGACCTCCTATGAGAATAGCAATGGAATGAGCCCATGATGGTGGCTTTTTGGTGAGGGAGGTACTGCATCCTGGGAGAGATGGGCTACAGAGTTGTTAAGCATTAGCATCAGAGGTAAGGTGGGTGGCTAGTTACACTGTATGGCCAAAAGTATGTTTACACCCCTCCAAATGAATGAGTTTAGGGTCACCAAGCCAGCTCCATAAAGACATGGCTTGACCAGTTTGGTGTGGACGAACATGCGTGGCCTGCAGAGTCCTGACCTCAACCCTAATGAACATCTATGGTATGAATTGGAATGCTGATTGTGAGCCAGGTGTTCTCATCCAACCTCAGTACCTGACCTCACCAATGCTCATTAGGCTAAGTAGGCCCACATTTCCACAGACACACTCCTTCTTAAGGTGCCCACACACCTTGCGATAATCGTACGATAATCGCTGGAAATCTCGCGATCGTACGATTATCGCAAGGTGTGTGGAAGGCGTGCGACCTCTGCTACTGTAAGGTCGCACGACTTTTATCTTAGGAACATGTTCGAAAACCCGCCGAGAATCGTACGATTGTCGGCGGGTGTGTGGCATGTTCGTAAGCACACCGGCCCGTTCAGCATTGCGGTCATCGGAAGCCCGCCCCTCAGCGGGGCGGGCTTGCGATCATCGCAAGTACGGTCTAGTCTTTGAAATGTCAAGTGTCACAGAGGACAAGTTTAATGACTTGCTTGAAATGACAGATGAGATCCATTTTAATATATAAAAAACAAACAGAGAGAATAGTGCTAACCTCTAGAGCAGTGGTTCTCAACCTGTGTAACTTCAGGACCCACATTTTGTCCTTGGTCATTAAGTCGCGACCCAAATCGCACTGCAATGGACCGCACGGCATTGCAGTACCGCGCGTTCCGGTGCGGACAATCAGACTGTGGGTGGGAGGTGTGTTTGGGGTACCATTTCAAATAAATGGCAACGCAACACACCTCCCACACCAGAATGCGTAGTAGGTGTGATTGCAGAGTACAGTGCGTTACTCCGGTCCAGGCACCTCTACAGGACACATGAGTAAGCTGTAAGCAAAGCATGTATGGATGGAGCTCCCTTGCGGCCATAGCCCCATCCTATCCCACCTCTAGCTGACACTCGGCACCGGGCAGCATATTCTGAATGGCTTCTTGGTGCGAGAACTGACAGTGCTGTACTAGAGGGAGGATGGGGAGCCTCTCGCCTAGAAAAGTGGAAGGCATGCAGCGACCCACTGAAAACAGGGTCGCGACCCACTTTTGTGTCACGACCCACCAGTTGAGAACCACGGCTCTAGAGCCATACATTTATCCTGACTTCTAGGATGGACTGAAGCATAAAAGATTATTGCAATATGATTTAGAATTATTAGAACTGTGCTGGATATAAAATATGACCTGTTTGTTAGAAAATAATAATACAATGTCCAGCTGTACCTTAGAGTCCTGAACTTGCTTACACTTCATTGCTCGTATTTTCTGTCTAAAGTTTACTTTAAACTGGCAATTCCACAAACAGCTAACATCCATGCCCAATAGCACTTAGGCTGCTTGCAGTTAAGCTGCTTTATATAGACTCATTTTTTTTAAAGTCCTCAGCCATCATTGCTGATCAGTGATTTAATTTAAAAGACAACTCCACTGTGTACAGATGCCAGTTGTTGGTAAAGGTAAATTAAATGTCTTCTCTGCAGGTCAAAGATGTACCACTAACACCTTCAGGATCTATCAAGCTTAGGTTGCTTCAACGTGGGTTTTGTGATTTTCAAGACGACATTTATAAGTATCACATATTATAGACAGCGTGAACCACAGTCCCCACAGCCCATTCTTGGTATCAAAAACCAGTGGCGTAACAATCACCATAGCGACCCAGGCGGCCGCTATGGGGCCGAGGCACGGCGGGGCCCGGCCAGGACATCTCCCTGATGCCATGCGGGCCGCCTGGGTCGCTATGGCATCTTGCTCGGAAGACAAGAAGGGATATGAATTTTACATTTGAGAATCACAAAAACAGAGCAACATGCCGGATTCCACTGCCACCCAAGAACACTCGAGAGTTAATCCACTTGATTACAAATATTGCATTAGAAACACAGTTTCCACCTCTGCAATATGTGTGCACAATATCTCCTATGTGGTCTCTCTTGATACATCTGTCATGTAAAGTAATGAATATAATGCTGAATGTGATATTGATCCTTATATAGCTGATCCAGTGTTAGATCGACGTCAGCCCTCAGAGACCCTGTAAGAGACATTGTGAACATACACTATATCACCAAAAGCACTGGGACACCCCTCCTTCATTGGATTCAGGTGTTCCGTGAAATTTCCTGGCTACTAAATATTCCACGGTCATCTGTTACTGGTATTATAACAAAGTGGGAGCAACTGGGAACAACAGCAACTCAGCGGTAGGCCACGTAAAAATAACAGAGTGGGGTCAGCGCATAGTGCGCAGAGGTCCCCAACTTTTTGCAGAGTCAATAGCTAAGATCGTACGTTTTTTAAATGACCTTACAACCATCGCACAATGAAAGTCGTGCAATGGTTGTAAGGTGTGTGTCCAGCATTAGAAGAGCGAAGGGTTTTGCACCTGCAAAGGAGGGCCAACTGCATATTAAAGGTCATGGTTTTAGAATGGGATGTCCAACAAGCTCATATAAGTGTGATGGTCGGCTATCTACAAACCTTTAAACCATATATTGTCATTAGTATTTGGGTTGGAGTTTGGGTCAGCTGGGCTGCAAAGTCACTAAACTGTCCTACAGGAGGATATAGTTGCTGAACCATCACGGCCATCATCTCTGAGTTTCCTTCTAGAATTGCTAATGCTTTACATGAAATAGTCTCTGTAATGAGATTAGTAGTTCCTCACATGAGACTGTTTTCCATCTAGGGGAGCGCTGGGCTGGAAGGCATTTGCCCCCCTAGGCCAGTACTAATAACATAACATAGCTTGAGCTGATGGCCCTAAATTGAGATACTCTACCATTCAGACATCCGGAATCTGGAATCAGCAGTCAGTGATACATGGTTGGTATTATATAGCTATGTGCTCCCTGTTCATACTTTCACAGCATCTGGCAGAGGGAAGTCTTCCGGCGTCGACTTCCTTTGTGGCTCTGAGATATCATGTGCCCAAATGTGGAGAGCCACAAAGGAAGCTGATGATAAAGGATGGGAGACGGTGTGTCACGATACACCATGTCCAATAGGTGGCCCTTTGATTGGCCATGGTGGAAGGTTGGTGCCACCAGTCAATGAGGCATCATGGCAAACTGGGCATGGTACACTTTTTCACCCCACAGAAACGTGTCCCTACCTTGAAAGGGTTGTGTTTGCCCCCCCAGGCCAAAGGTTCCAAGTCATCTTTTGCCATCCCCTGACAACATCACTTTCTACCCTTCTGGAGGTTCTATCATGTACTTGGTGATAGACCAACAGATGAGGAGGCTTCTCTTGCTTCTCGCATCCTACACCCCCTGGAGGTGGGAACAGAGTGTGAGAGGATGACGAGTAGCACTGGTGGGATCAAGCACTTGTGCAGGAAATGACCAGGAGTGGATAAGCTGAATCAGGATAAGGGCAGCCATCAGAAATTTTGGGGCCCCTTACACGGCTTTAGGCTGGGCGCTGGACGCAGGGCTTAGTGACGCGTTGGACGCAGGGCTTAGTGACGCGCTGGACATAGGGCTTAGTGACGTGCTGGTCACAGGACCCACCTGAGAGTGACCCTGCGGAGCCCACCATAGATGCTGCACAGCCCGTCTGGGACTGTCTATGGTGGGCTCTGAAGGGGTCTCAGGTGGGCTGGTCAGGGCTGCATCCCTCTTTTCCTTCCTTCCTTCCTAGCTCCTCTTACCTGCACACATGGCCTCGTCTGCCGCCAGACTGGCCAGAAGTGACGTCACGTGACTGACGTGACGCCACTTCCGGCCAGTCCGACATCAGACGAGCAGCGTCGCTGATGGGGCCCCAGCTTGTCTCTAAGCCGCTGGAGCGGCAATGCTGGGGCCATGTGGTGCTAGGGCCAGGCCTCCACCCTCCTCGCCCTTTACCGTTGGCCGATAGTCATGTAAGGGACCCGGGCGGGCCCCCCAGGCCCCTTACATGAGTATCGGCCGTACCCCCCCTGATGGCTGCCCTGATCAGGATACAGAAGCATAGTCAGGGATAGCCAAGGATTGGAACCAACCGGGCAGCGAAGTTACAGTATCAGCAGGCAACAAGCAAGTCCAGGAAACAGGCCGAGGTCAGGCAGCAAGGAGAGTCCCAACGATCCGGGTCAAGAATATAATTGCAGCTAATCCAACAGAGCAACAGGCACAGGAACACAGCTGAAAGACCATCAGCACAGTGACAAGGGCAGGCCCGTTTAAATGGACCAACTCATCAAGGTAGAAGCGTCACTTCCCGTGCGTCGGATGTTTGCGTGCCTTTGCCCATACTTCCGATCGTGCACGCATGCGCACAATAGCTGTTCTAAACATGGGTTTGCGCACATGCGCGGCCATCGTCTTTACCTTATAGGTTCTGTATTCTCCGTTTGTCAGATCATTAGCCTGTTTGGAAACCTACGACCCAGCTCTCTTCCTGTACGCAGTCTGTCTGCAGATCATTTCATTTTCCTTCCCTCAGCCTTTCATCCCTTCAATCTACACTTAGGTATTACACATTCTGTGATGAGGGCCCCATCTGGGGACCCGGTGGTGGAGATGAGATTGGAGAGGCGGGGGTGTGAGTCAGTGGTTTCTTGTGAGCATTGCATGGAGGTGCCCCGTCGCACTGACAGCACAATGACCGCATTGTCCAGGCATTCTCTCCCTCTCTCCCGGGTTACAGGGCTCACTCCGTTGTATTACTGGAAACCTTCCATCATTTCATACAAGCCGCCTGAAATGTTCCTCTCCCCTCTGCCAGCAACAGAATCCTGCAGTACATTTTCAGGGGAGGAGGAAAGCTTCTACTCTTATTTGGGGGATTGATAATTATTCTACCCAGAAACTTGTACTAAAGTAGCTAAAAGTCTCCCTCATCCTTATAACACCCCTTACTCCTGGTCCATGAAGAGTCTGAAGACAAAGCCTTCATCTGAAGGGTCACTTTTCCCAAAATGGATATTTCAGTGTTTGGTGGATGCCGGAGAGTCAAACCACTTGATGGCCTCATATAGCCCCTCAGGGACCCTATTGGTGAGTTTCTGGGTTGGCACATTTGCTGTGTCCATTATGAGGGGTCCTCACTCTTCCTAAATTTTAATTTTGTTTTACATTGTGGAGAATCCAAATGGACAAAATAAAAAATGACATATATGATGTAATAATCGCTGAGCCAACATCTTATACCAAGAAGTACATGCTGACTTTGGATGATGCCCGAGGGCCGGTTCACACCACAAAGTCTGCATTCCAGAGGGTTCGGCCTCCGGAACCCAAGCTGGCCGGCTTCTTCTTGCGTTCAGGGGCGGGAGGAGGCGTGACGGTGCATTGAAGTCAATGGCACCACAGCCACGCCCCACCGGCCCGCACTGCGATCGGCTGCACCCGAACGCGTGGCACATTAGTGCCTGCGTTCCGGTCCAGTGCGATCTGCAAAATGCTGCAAGCACTATTTTTTCAGATCGCACTGGGCCGGAACGCAGGCACTAATGTGCCGCACGTTAGGGTGTGGGCGATCGCACTGCAGGCAAGGGGCGTGGCTGCCGTGCCACTGACTTGCACCGTCACGCCACCCTCCCGCCCCTGAACGCAGGGAGTCGGCCAGCTTGCATTCCAGAGGCCAAATGCTCTGGAACACAAACTTTGTGGTGTGAACCGGCCACAAACAAAGAAGGCTCCAGGCTTCCGGAGAGGAAATCAGATTGTCAGGTGGAATATTGTGATTTGAGCAACTTTAACAAAGGCCAAATTGTGATGTTTAGGCGACTGGGTCAGAGCAACTCTAAAACTGCAGCTCTTGTGGGATGTTCCCGATCTGCTGTGGCCAGGACCTACCAAGGGTGGTCCACAGAAGGAAAACGGGTGGACCAACGACATGAGGATAGGCAGCCAAGGCTCATTGATGCACATGGGGAGCGAAGGCTGGCCCGTGTAGTCTGATCCATTAGAAAAGCTACTGTAGATTCCACAGCATACCTTCAGAGGTCTAGTGGAGTCCATGTCTCAAAGGGTCAGGGCTGTTTTGGTGGCAACAGGGGGACCTACTCTATCTTAGGCAGGTGATCATAATGTTATGGCTGATCGGTGGATATCTGATGCTAGATTTGCTTTACAGGAACTGGAGGTCTGCATAGGTAGGGATCCTGGACAAATGGTCATCTCGCTTGGTGGTTTGTTTAACATTTTTTATTGTACAAGAACATCAGATTGGGGAAAAAGTCTACCCTCTTTGTGAGGATGTGGTGACATTCTTAACCCTATAACAATCCAAATATAGGCTTTGTAGTGAACCCCGGCTTCATTCTTCTATATACTGTCATTAAATCCCTGAAGAAGAGGAAGGCCCTTTCCCCCGATATACGTTGGCTGTATCTGATGTTCTTGTTCAATGAATTTTAACTGAACCTCCAAGAAAAATGACCATTTACACTAGGCCCCCCTGACCTCATATCTAACATTTGATCATCTGATGAGTGATTCTTTTATGGTGACCAGAGAGCAGTGGAGTCACAAGGGGGGTGCGGGGTGTGCGGCCCACACCCAGGTGACACCATTGGAGGGGTGACACCAAAATGACTCACAGTCATTTTGGTGTCACCCCCCTCTGAAAAGTCGGGCGCCCGGTCATGGACCGAACGCCCAACAGTATCAGGAGAGAGGAGGGGACCCGGCGGCATACCTTATCCAGCCGGGTGACTGTCCCCTCCTCTCTCTGCCGGCGTCCATCACCAAGGTGGCCGCCGGCAGGTATCAGATTACTGCCGTGGGTGCGCGATGACGTCACGCGCATGCGCAGTGACGTCTCGGCGGGGTGACACTCGGTTACCGCTCCGGGTGTCACCCAGCCTCGGGACGCCCCTGCCAGAGAGGCAGTAGCCTCTAAAGGTCTACCTGCTCCAAGGAGAACACCCTTTTGTAATTAAACTAGAACCAATCTCATTCCTACTGCTCCAGCGCTACTGCCTATGTACCAGACATGCATACTTAGGACCAGCTACATGGGGTGGAGAGACCATTTTATTATAATGGGGAATTAAGGGGTTCTTTGGAGGGCTGGAGAACTTTCTAATGAATGGAATCCACAGTCATAATAAGGTCATAGTTCATAGTAAGAATAGACCGAGCCTCCGAGCAGATCCACCTTTCGCTTTCTTGTCCTCTGGACCGGAACTGCTGCAGTTTTATTTCCATTATAAGTAATTAGATGATTGTATCACTTCAGTCACTTTATACTCTTTGCATTCCAGTCAAACCAGATCCCCCAGAGAAGATATCGGTGGAGCCAATCCCATTTGCACCGCAGCGGCTGCTAGTCACCTGGGCGTACCCCACCACGTGGCCCCAGGAGCCACATTTCCAGCTGAGATTCCGAATCCAGTACCGGCCGGTGCTCCACATGGTGTGGTCCGTGGTGAGTGGCCTGTGCTCTGTGTGCGTGTGTGTTGCAGCTTGGTGTTTCTAGTACTTTAACCCTTGGCTCTGTTTGGTGCTGCGGGCCCCAGGTGGAGACGGCCAATTTGTCGGACATCATCACGGACGCATTTGGTGGGGTGGAGCATATTCTGCAAGTGAGTGCCAGAGACTTTTTGGATGCGGGAAACTGGAGCGAGTGGAGCGCCGAGGCCCGAGCCACACCATGGACCAGTAAAGAGCATTCAGGTACGTGCACGGAAAAACAACACAAAAAAACCAACTCGCCATTGGGTCGATTCTGATCACTTCCTGTCTCAGTGGCCAGAGAGGAAGTGAAAGGAAAACATTTCAACAGGGACATAGACTAGTCATAGACTTTTGTCTTTTTATGCTTTGAGTCACATTCTGGTACCCAAAGGGAGCCTTGCTCTAAATGAGTGGCCTCATCGTTGAACGATTGAACCAACAAGTTTTGATATTTCTTTTTAGAATTTACAATAAAAAAATGAATTTTAAGGGTCTGTTTCACCCTGTGAATATTCATGAACATATGCTCTGTGCCAAAACAAACATTCTTTAGTTATTTTCTTTACAAGTGCAATTAATTTTTTTTTTTTTTATGTAATGTCACATTATGGCCACTAGATGGTGCTAATGGAGCATAGGAAATAGGTATTAATTTTCTACCATCTAGTGGCCATATTGAGTTATAACATAAAAAAACATTCAAAAATTATTTTCCTTGTACAGCTAAAGAATGTTCGTTTTAACATACATCCGTAGAGATCGAACATTCACAGATATTTGCAGGGTGAAGGCCCCCTTAGGTAGTTTATAAATAGACTAGGGCTGGTAATGATTAACATTTTCGTGTTCGATTAATCGAAATTGTGATTAATCGATTGATTTCGATTAATTCTAACGCACATACAGATCCAACTACATTGGCCTATACACATACACCACAGCAATGAAGTAATACAATGAACTAGGATCACACTAATCCAGCACGTTATTAATCTCACGTGCCAGACCCCTTAGTCTTCTTTGGCTTGTTTTGGATAGAGTGGTGAAGGCTTAGACAGACAGTCAAATTGTTTATTGAGAAAGTCTTTAAAAAAAAGTCTGAAATGTAACCAGGGCACCAGACCATTAGTCAACAGGTCCAAAAGGAACTTTGTGATTAAGAACATCCAATGGGTTTCCCTTTTCCCTGGATAACAATGCTCCCCCTTTATCAGGTGTGATGTTGGGGCGCTCACATAGCATTCGCACAGCGGGTTTTCCAAAACACAAGTCTTTTTATTTGCTCTTGCAGGGCAGCAGAAAAAGGTCAACACAAATATTTGCTTATCTTCAGCACAAATGACAAAAACAAAAGATGTCTGACCGACTTGTTGTATAAAGTCCCAGACCTGGGGAATCCCTTCCCAGGAATGTTAGTCCTGCAACACAGCAGCACAGCAACACAGCAGCTCTCTCACCTTTACACACAACTACCGCTGATGACTTCCTCCTCAACTCCCACACTCCTCTCTGGGAGTTACCGACCTTTTAAACCCCTTCCTTGGGCAGGAAGGTTAACCCTGCGGCTGTCCTTAGAGGGGCCACAACCCAAATAGGGGTGATACATATCGCCCATCCAGGACCCAGCCTTGCCGTCCTCTACACAGGGCTTGAATAAAGTGTGGATTTGCTGTTGATGGACTCATGGAACTGTAGGTGACATATGCTTATATTAACTTAATACTCTAAATAAATAACCACAAAAAACACAATTTTATTTGAATTGGCATTAATTGGCCGCGGCATTTTATTGGATTAAATAATTAGATCAATCTCTAATAACCAATTAAAATCAATCAACCAGTAAAATGTTAAAAATCAACCATATTGCCCAGTTTTTGAAACTCGAGCAATATATCACTCAAGGGAATAGTCCCCCTCATCTGAGGTGACAAACAACATAAAATACCGCGACGAGGGGGGGAGGGTGGCAGGGAGCTTGAAAAACCGGATTCCAACTGATGATTTCTTCCTAGAAGCCCTCCTTATATAGGGTGGCTGTGGAAACTTCCAGAAATCCTTGTGGCGATGTTTTCCCGCCAAAATAAAGATTTTTCCCGCCGAAAAAATTACAGTTACATTTTCTTAAAGAGGCAGTAACTGAAATATAGAACACTGGGAAAAATACACACAAAACAAACACAACTAATAGTCCCCACATTCCCATGAAAATGGGCCTCTAATGGATGCCATTTTTACAGTAACTGAATTTGGTGTCTTTCAAGCAGCATGACGCTTCGTCCTTTAGGGGCTCCCTGATCTATCTGAGCAGCTTTACCAGAGCTAGTGAGCACCACAGAATGAACCAACATCCCATAGTACTGGTAGCGTGAGACCCAGCTCCTCTTACACACAGCTTCCAGTTTCTTTTTGAGGTCTGCTTTGACCTTGGGGAGATGTCCCACAACTTCCTCAAGTGATGGAAAACCTCTTCAGCTAGGGCACTTTCTTCTGTATAATGAGGGAGGGTGAGGACTGCCTTCGGGTTATAAGAACAGTCCATGCCTATCTGTCCCAGTGACCACCTCTCCCCTTGTCCTGTGGTCACAAGGAAGGACACCCCTGGAGATGTTGGTAAATTGGACATTTAACTGTAATTCTTTCCCAGTGGCTCATTGTGTGTTATTTTTGCTCGTTTCACAGTGCCAGTCCCTGAGACCAGCAATGAAACCACTATAGAAGAACCTGATCCTGAAATTAGGGAGCCATTTGGTAAGTTCTCGGTCACAGTATCACGTGACGCACCATGGACAATGATTGTTAACATCAATATGGAGTATGGGGGGGACCGGGTTAAAGATGTTGGATGAGTTTGTATTGAACCGAATGGTTTGGTTGGTTCCGACCTGAATAACCGAGTGAGAAGAGTCAACCCTTGGCTTCTTGTATCTGCTGAGCATTCCAGCTGAGAGATCCCCAATCCCCCCCATAATAATACAAAGAATTACAGGTTCCCTTCACCCAAAGTGGGGTGCTGAGACTGCTCCTACTTCCTATGTGTCCTTTATACACCAACATGGAGATTTCCCTGACATAACTCCCTGTTTGTGTCTACATGGCAGTTCTGTGTATTCCATCCTCTCCTGTTATATTCTACATGATGCAAAATAAATATAAAATCCAGCAGGGATGATAAGAACCCCTCATAATGGGCACAGCAGGTGTACAGACCCGGGAACTCAGCACAGGGATGGGGGGAGCCCCTCATAATGGGCACAGCAGGTGTACAGACCCGGGAACTCGGCACAGGGATGGTGGGAGCCCCTCATAATGGGCACAGCAGGTGTTCTGACCCAGGAACTAAGCAAAGGGATGGTGGGGCCCTCATAATGGGCACAGCAGGTGTACAGACCCTGGAACTCAGCACAGGGATGGGGGGAGCTCCTCATAATGGGCACAGCAGGTGTACAGGCCCGGGAACTCAGCACAGGGATGGGGGGGACCCCTCATAATGGGCACAGCAGGTGTACAGACCCGGGAACTCAGCACAGGGATGGTGGGAGCCCCTCATAATGGGCACAGCAGGTGTACTGACCCAGGAACTAAGCAAAGGGATGGTGGGGCCCCTCATAATGGGCACAGCAGGTGTACAGACCCTGGAACTCAGCACAGGGATGGGGGGAGCTCCTCATAATGGGCACAGCAGGTGTACAGACCCGGCAACTCAGCACAGGCTCCGTTGATGTAATAATGTAAGTTGAAGGCTGTATTCGATATCCTAACACATGTCCACAATTGGCTTCTTGAAGCAGAACTTTGCTGCCCTCCAGACCACAGTGACCCCGCAGAGAAAGTGGCAGTACTCATCTCACTGGGAGTCTTAGTTATATTCTACATGATGCAAAATAAATATAAAATCCAGCAGGGATGATAAGAACCCCTCATAATGGGCACAGCAGGTGTACAGACCCGGGAACTCAGCACAGGGATGGGGGGAGCCCCTCATAATGGGCACAGCAGGTGTACAGACCCGGGAACTCGGCACAGGGATGGTGGGAGCCCCTCATAATGGGCACAGCAGGTGTTCTGACCCAGGAACTAAGCAAAGGGATGGTGGGGCCCTCATAATGGGCACAGCAGGTGTACAGACCCTGGAACTCAGCACAGGGATGGGGGGAGCTCCTCATAATGGGCACAGCAGGTGTACAGGCCCGGGAACTCAGCACAGGGATGGGGGGGACCCCTCATAATGGGCACAGCAGGTGTACAGACCCGGGAACTCAGCACAGGGATGGTGGGAGCCCCTCATAATGGGCACAGCAGGTGTACTGACCCAGGAACTAAGCAAAGGGATGGTGGGGCCCCTCATAATGGGCACAGCAGGTGTACAGACCCTGGAACTCAGCACAGGGATGGGGGGAGCTCCTCATAATGGGCACAGCAGGTGTACAGACCCGGCAACTCAGCACAGGCTCCGTTGATGTAATAATGTAAGTTGAAGGCTGTATTCGATATCCTAACACATGTCCACAATTGGCTTCTTGAAGCAGAACTTTGCTGCCCTCCAGACCACAGTGACCCCGCAGAGAAAGTGGCAGTACTCATCTCACTGGGAGTCTTCGCATTCGTGGTGCTGGCCCTTTTCCTGATCGCTGGAGCCTTCATCTGGTAAGTGTCATTGCGGCATGTCAATATAATACCACACCCATATGTTTCACTTCCTGGGTGGAGATCACCCATCATCTAGTCCTTTCTTCTCCAGCCCGACTGTCCCTAGCCCCGCCCCTTTCATTCATTGGATTTCAGTTCTTTCAATCATGGAGGCTCAGCATCACATGTGGTCATTACCTAGGGGTGGTCTGCATGCAAATGATGCCTGCCTAGGAAGTCCTCCTCCTCCAGACTGACACCCACCCATCAACGCATTTTGATATTTGCATAACTCCTCCCAAGAACCAGCCCACTGCTTGCATCAAGGCTGAGGACCCTTGAGAGGAGTACTGGGTCAGGGTGCCATTATGTTTTCCAGAAGCTATGTACAGCCCCTGTTCGCTTCTCCCACCAGCCATGATCTGCCTGGAGGGGGGGGGGATATAAGGCAAATTAGGCTTTAAGTGTGTTCTAGGCATGTTGTGCGTGAAGTAAGGACGATTCTAGTGTTGCGCGGGATGCACACATGACGCCTCCTTTTATCTTACAGGATGAGAGTGAGCCGGACAGTGAAGTACGGTGGGATGAAAGCAGACTTCCTCACAGCCATTCATATGAAAGCCCTCCCAAGTAAGTGTCACCAGAGGCCGGGGTCACCCAGCTCTGCCGTTATTCAAGCTCCTTTTCACCAAACCTGTACCAATTATCCCATAATGAAGGGGACAGATCACAAGTGCCAAGCACAATATGTACAGACAGGGCCGGATTTACTCTCTCTGTTGCCCCAATGCTAGGTTGCTCTATGGACCCTCCTGTATACAGGCTCCATACAAGTGATCTCCGTGACATCCCCCAGAAAACAAGCGGCGGCTTCCCCGCTGTACATTTCGCTCTGCTTGCCCAAAGCCGGGCTAAATGTAGAAAAGAACTACCCGCCCGGCCCCCTGAACTGCATGTCCCGGGCATTGGGAGATAGGAATTCCACACCCCTGCTGCCCCTCTACTCCCTGCTGCCCCTCTACTCCCTGCTGCCCCGAGGCCGGGCCTTGGTTGGCCTTGTGGGAAATCCGGCCCTGTGTACAGAGACGGGGCAGACGGTGGCAGATTGTTTTTTGTTCCAACCTATTCTGAAGAACTCTGTGTGATGGGACCGATCCTTCCCTCTTCTTATTTAAATTTTTTAAATATATAATGATTGTTGGATTAATTTGGGAGAGGCTGACCCCCTGCTGGCCACAACCTGCAAATCACCCGACTGCAACAACTTGCCTCAAAAGCCTCCCACTTGGCACTAATTTGGACAGATTTCTACCCATGGCATGGCCCATCTCAATATCTACAGAACAGAAAAATGTCTCAGTACCTGTGATTGGCGCTGCTGCGCTGTCAGCTTCCTGGCGGGCTCGGCACGTGGAGCTGCGAACACGCCCGAGCCCATCACTAATGGTGATAAGGGCCAGCGGTGAAGTTTCATCAAATCTTTGCCGTGTTTTTTTTTTCTCTATCAGTTTACTATGTGTTATTTATTTTTTTTAGTTTACGGCACCTTATATTTATATTTTAATCCCCTCTTCTCCCCTCAGAAACACAGATTTTGTAGTTACAAAGAGAAAAGGAAGACGGCTTTCCCCGGGAGGAAGAGAAAAGCATCTGCGGAACATTATGACTCTTATCATACACACAATAGAGAGATGAGATAAACTTGGCTGCGTTGCCATTCCCTTTGCTGTCCTCCAGGGGGCAGGCAAGCACCTTCCACCAGTTGGAACCTGGAGGACGATTTCTCTCCCGGATGGATCCACTGACAAGTCCCTCGTCACGGCAGCTCGCAAGGATGAACCCTCAGAGACGACGTCAGAAAACACTAACCCAACAGACCTGGCGGACTAAACTCTAGTAGTGACTGATAGCAAACCTTCAGGAGCCAGGCGGATAATGTGACTAACTTTTTGGAAGCTCTCGTTCTCGGCTTCTGAATTCTGCGTAACTTTTTTCAATCTTTGAACTTAACTGGACTGCCCGATCCCCCCCGCCAGCTGTCGGCTGTAGTCCAGTTTAACCGATCAGTGCTGCTACCACATAGACTTTTTTTCTTCACGGTGAACTCTTATCTGTTCCGTAGTCACTCAGCTGTTGTGCTTATAATACAGAGATGATATATGTGGCTGGAAAACGGGGGAACTACCGGCCTTGCGGAGTCCATCGGTCAAATGGAGTCTTCATCGGCCTGGAAACAGTTAATTGTGCTAGCCAAAACACTGTCCACCGCTCCCATGCCCTATAAACTGGGTCGCCCACTTAGCTAGGTCGCATGGCAGGGGTTTGTCCTCACCCCCAAACTGGTGGCATTCTGTAATATAAGTGAAGCTTTATTGTTCCATACCTGCAAATGTATAAGTCCAGTTTTGGGCGAAACACATCGAAGGAGGAGGTCCTTGGTGGGGCCTTGTCCAGAACAATATAGCTTCGCTGATGGAGAATTTTACAGCTACTTTATATCGGATTTCCAAATTTGAAGAGATAATTTGGCTCTGAATTCTAGACCAGAGTCGACATAATCAGAGGGGGGGGGGGGGCAATGCCTCCCCACAATGAATTATGTTCCCCTACTTCATGGCCACCCGTATCTCATAGATTGAGTCTGTCCACAGAAAGCATTCAGAACCCATGCCTTTGGGCCAAGTTCTTTAATTACTCCGTACGTTGACGGGTCTACCTTGGGGGAACGGTTTAAATAAACAGAGATCACAGTGCATGCGCCCATTTAGTTCTATGGTCAATGGGGAATTTAAGGTAGCACACCTCATACCCCTCACCCCACAGAGTAGCAGCTGGCATTGGTTTGAGTTCTCAAAAACAAATAAAAAATGTACAGAGTATGAGATATTTCTGGAGCACCAGAACCCTGTTGGCTCCATTGTCTCTTAAAGGTCTAGAGGGCTGCAGAAGACTATGGCATTAAAGGGAACGTCCACGTTCAATGAGAGCCTTGAGGCTCCCTGGAAATTGTGGTGTTGGTACAACGACAAGCTGGTTTATAAGGGGCATTCTGGAGAAGGTTAGAGAGCCTTGTGATGTCGCGTATCAGGGACATATCCAACGTACGAGTAAACCAAGGTGACCCTCACTGGCCGCCCTCCTCCGAGACATGTCGCTGTAACAACGTATCTTCCTTAGTTCTAATGGCTCATTAAATAAATGAAATGAGGGCAGCCAGGGCCGGATTTACTCCCTCTGCGGCCCCACTGCCAGGTTCCTCAATGTGCCCCCCTGTATGCAGGTTGCATATAAGTGATCTCAGGGACATCACTTGTACAAAACAAGTGGTGGCTTCCCCGCTGAACATTTAGCCCTGCTCGCTTAAAGCAGGGCTTAATGTGGAAAACAACTACCCGCCCGGTGCCCAGAACTGCATGTCCCGGGCGTCGGGAGATAGGAATTTCACACCCATGCTGCCCCTCTAGTCCCTGCTGCCCCGAGGTCAGTCCTCGGTTGGCCTGGTGGGAAATCCGGCCTTGAGGGAAGCTTGGAATATTTTTAATTAGCTTAAAAAGTAAGAGGGTCTTCCAGCACCATGGAGGGGCCTCTGCCTCCTGCAGACTTGGAGAGAACAGTTGGACCCCCATTATTCTGTTGCCTGAGTCCTTGGAGGACTGAAATCCAATTGCAAAATTCAACAATTTGCCTTAGAAATATTTCCAGGTCAGGCTGCTATACCAGATCTTACCAGTAGATGATGCTAGGGGTGATTATTTTTTTTACATTGCAAGATTCTGACCTGAAACCGGTTGGATTCCCTCTGTTCTTCTTGGAAACCCGTCATTCATAACCCCATAATCTCTACACAACGGGGGCACTTATAAAACTGCAGCATAAAGTATTTAAAAACATGGATTATTGTTAAAAAAAATCATGAAAAACTTTTGAAAACTAATACAAATCCAAGAAATTACCGCGTATTCAGCCCAATTTACACTGTTTGCACTTTTCTTGTCTTTTACAGTTGCCTTTTACCGGCTCCAATGGGTCCAGGCCTCCGGCACGGAGACAGACTGTACAAGGGGGCTGGTTAAGCTATAGGTTCATAAGGGAACTCAGTTAACAAGCTGTGTGTCAGCTGGGCATTATTCTAGGACTGTGTTCAACACTACGCAGGGTGACGTCTTCAACCAATGTGAATGCAGCAATTTACAGTGACCCTCCAACCAGCAGTTTCAAGCTAATTCTCACTTCTCTGTATCAGCCCGCCTACCTGTACACGTGCGATGGGAAGGTGGCTCCACCTGTCGACGTGCGATGGGAAGCTGGCTCCACCTGTAGACGTGCGATGGGAAGGTGGCTCCACCTGTAGACGTGAGATGGGAAGGTGGCTCCACCTGTAGACGTGTGATGGGAAGGTGGCTCCACCTATAGACGTGTGATAGGAAGGTGGCTCCACCTGTAGACGTGTGATGGGAAGGTGGCTCCACCTGTAGACGTGCGATGGGAAGGTGGCTCCATCTTTAGACATGAGATGGGAAGGTGGCTCCACCTGTAGACGTGCATTGGGAAGGTGGCTCCACCTGTAGACGTGCATTGGGAAGGTGGCTCCACCTGTCGACGTGCGATGGGAAGCTGGCTCCACCTGTAGACGTGCGATGGGAAGGTGGCTCCACCTGTAGACGTGCGATGGGAAGGTGGCTCCACCTGTAGACGTGCGATGGAAAGGTGGCTCCATCTGTGATATTTTAGTTATGATGGGTCCTGGTGTAATGTGCCAGCCTCGGCTTCTTATATGTCTTGGATACTCCAACAGTAAGGTCTCCCAACCTTTGTTCCCGGCTCTGTTCCTGTCCACCTGGGAGTTTCGAGTGCTCCTGTCCATGTTTATGTGTCGCAGCTCCACCTGTTACATTGTCTATAATATAAAATAACTAAAAATCCAGCAGGGATGGTGGGAGCCCCTCATAATGGGCACAGCTGGTGTGCCAAACTGGGAACTCAGCACAGGGATGGCCGGAGTCCCTAAAAATGGGATCAGTAGCTGTGCATACCCGGGAACTCAGCACTGGGATGGTGGGAACGGGAACCCATAATGGGCAAAGCAGATGCACCAACCTGGGAACTCAGCTTAGGGATGGTGGGAACCCTGCAAACAGGCACAGAAATGTACTAACCTGGGAACTCGGAGAAATGGTGGGATCCCCTCAAAATGGGCACAGCAGGTATGCCAATCTGAGAACTTTGAACCTGGGAATGCCAAATGTACAGTAGAATATCTCAACTTATAGATACGGGTTGTGATATTTGCATCGCTGTCATCTAATCGGTAACATAGCTGAAAGATGCAGAGGGGATGTGTTACTTTCCGTTGGGTCTTCTGGGTTTCATTCACCTTGGAGCTTCACATCTGCTTCATGGATCAGATATTTGGTCCATGGTCTGTGTCTGAGCCCCTCCCACAAAGTCACAGTGTCATTCTTACAAGCGGCCTCCCTTGTTTTATGAGTCTTCTTCCATAAGGAGAATCCATCGGGGGAGGGTGGCACAATAATTTACCCTTGCTATGGGCAGGACCAGGAATTCTGGTTGGGCGATCTCAACCTTTTGGAGGCCCCAAGAATGGAATTCAATTTGCCAACAACCCTTCATAACTCATATTTCATATTTAGGCAATGTTCACATTTTAAAGTCAACGTATCAGCCATTGTAAATATTCAAAACTAAAAGTCGCTCATGCAGGTACCATAAGATGCTGAGAGAAAGTGACAACCTTTATGGGCCATTAAAGTCTCTTTTGCATGCTTCTCTGGACTTACTGGACCTCACGTGTTCATATTAAAGGACAATGGTTTGACCTGCTCATAAACAGCAAAATGCGAGGGGAGGCCAATAGGTTCTTACCCTCACCATGATCTAGATGTGCTAGGGATCTGGAATGTATAGGTGGATATCTTAGTAATATGCATGCCGCCAATTTTTGATTTTTGTAGGTCGTGGTGAATTATAGTTAGAGCCAAGAGAAATGGAGTAGGTGTCATGCCGGACAAAGTTGAATACCGAGCTCAACTTTCGCCACCGCACTTGGTTCCGTGGCAGTTGACGGACGACCTTCACTTGGGTCATCCGGTATATTTGTGCGACCGCACTTGAATTCTCTCTTCTATCGTTTGACAGTCTCACATGACGGACAATCCGCTCCATACACAGCGGACATCTCTTCATGGATTATTTGGGCAGATGTCCCTTGAAGATGGAGCAACCTAATCACGGCTCGGTATTCAAATTTGTCCGGTCATGACACCTACGCCATTTCTCTTGGCTCTAACTATAATTCACCTACAAAAAAAACAAAATTGGCGGCATTCATATTACTAAGATATCCACCTATAAACCTGCCAAATTTCAGATCCCTAGCACATCTACATCATGGTGAGGGTAAGAACTCATTGGCCTCCCCTTGTACTTTGTAACAACTTTGTTACAATGTATTTATGATGGACTCGGCTTGCAGACCCCGGCTTGCCCCTGTCAGCACTCTGAGTTGCACAAGGCATGCCCAATGTGTTTAGATGAAGTCACTATGGGCATAACTCGCCCGTCGTTATCTGGTTGAACATTTAAAATGGCGGACAGGTTCACTTTAAAGCAGCATAGATAACCTGGGCATTCCACTATTGCATGCAAGGACATACTGGGACTCGTGCTGACCTAAAACCTGGAGGACTGAGTAGCCCTCCAATCCCTGAGGATGGTCAGTATTTCTCTAAGAGTATATAAAGCCAAACCTCTTATACACTCTAAGAAACAATGGACGCCTTTCTGTGAAAATAAATGTATATATATATATAATAACAATTTTCATCCATTTCCCCTTCCTGGCAGTTTAATAAGCCAATCGATGTATGTGATCAGTTCATTGTATATAATTGTATCAGTCTGTGTGTTATAAATCATGTTACATTGTG